GCGAATGCAAAATCCAACGAAAATGCAAAATCAAACAGGGCAGTAAATAAAATTGTCCACAATACATAAAATTAAAACAGACAGCCACGGTTAATCGGGACAGGTTCAGAATGTGCGGCAATTTTCCAGTTGCAGTTGCACACCTATGCGACACAAAAGATCAATAGCCGGGAGATATTTCATTTTCTGAGGGACAATTTAACCTAAAAAATCATACTATTGGGTTTATCCAAGGTATATAATATATATATATATATATATATATATATATGTAAAAGGTTATAACCTTCCTTTTCAGAAACAACTGCGTTTCTAATAACAAAGCTGATGTGTGGTGAGACAACAGCGTAAAAGTAAAAAAAAAATGAAGAAAAAGTACTTACCGTTCATCAAAAATTTCTCTGTTAGGTACTTGTAAGTGTTGTCCAAAGTTGTCTGCGATCGATTCAAAGACACATGCATGTGTTCGACGTAGCCAAGCATCAGTGTAGGCTCTAAGAATGGACTGCATTTCCCGAATGAATCCAGCAGATTGCTAAATACGCTCACATAGTCCATCAACCGTGTTCATCTCAGTTTTATACACTAGACATTTTATTTAGCCCCAAACAAAAAAAAGAAATCATGAAGGATATTGAAAAATGATCTGCATGTACTCGCGAAGCCTCGGTAAGCATTCTGAAGACACTCACCGTAAATTAGAATGATATGAACAACTCCGATATTGCAAGTGTGCTATTTTTTGTTTTGTTTTATTAAACTCGATATTTGCTTACCAACGCAGCAAGCGCCTGCATTGAGTACTGATGTGCATCGCACGTCTTCACGTTTGATCTGATAGAGATGCGGAACCGGCTTAGGTTTTGTTTAGATTTGATTTATTTTCTGGATATTAAGGCCCGTATCGTCAGTCGTCCCTACAATTGTAGGGCGCATTTATGGCCTCCTTGATTGTCATAGTTTTCTACTTCTCCGTGTCAGAACTCTATTTTGAGGTAATGTCACAAACATCTATTTGCATCAAATTGTACTTGCTTTTGAGTTATATCATGTTTTATCAGCCTGAAATTTCCTACAATTTAAAAAGAAAACATATCTTTACAATAGGAGAGCATTGACGCTGACACGGGACAAGTGTAATCTAGAAATTTTTGAAGGAGAGAAAGGAGTATGACAATCAAGGAGGCCATACAATTGTAGGGACGGCTGACGATACGGGCCTAAGACTTTGATGTATATGTTGCTAGAAAAAGCTGCGCATTTTTCCCCACTTTATGTTTCATACGACAGGACTAATAACAACAAATTTTAATTTTTTAATTGCATCTTGTGGGAAAAATGCACTTCTTTGTTAATTTTGGGGCGCTGAATCCAAAAATGACAATGAAATAAAAAAATTAGTTGCGGTTTAGAAAAAAGAACTTTTTATTTTTAAGGATATATTAAAAAAAGTAACAAGATTCATATACTTATAAGAATCACTATATGCGCTGTCTTTTTGCTGTTCTTTTATGGATCGTTTCTGGAGCATCTCTACCAACAGTAGTCTGCAAGCATGGAAGGATTCCACTTTCCCTGGTACCTTTTTTCCATTGTTGAAATATCCTGATGAAAACGTTCGCCGTGCTTATCACTTACGGCTCCGCAATTGTCAGAAAAAAAGTCCAGGTGTGAGTGTAGGAAATGTATCTTAAGAGACATATTACAGCCCATCTTTTGATACGGTGACAGCATATTTTTGACAAGGGTTTTATAGTTGTCAGCTTTTCTATTTCCCAAGAAATTAGTGACCACCAGACGGAAATCATTCCAAGCAGTTTTTTCAATACCTGTTAAAGTGTTTTCAAACTGTGTATCTTTCAAAATATTTCTAATCTGTGGCCCAACAAAAATACCTTCTTTAACCTTTGCCTCACTTAGTCTTGGAAATTTCTGACGCAGGTATTGAAAAGCTGACCGACCTCTATATAATGCCTTGACAAAGTTTTTCATTAGGCCCAACTTGATATGCAGTGGTGGTAATAAAATTTTTTTCGAATCTACTAATGGCATATGCTGTACATTTTTTTGACCTGGCTCTAGGAATGGACGAACAGGCTAGTTTTGTCTGGTGTAATGAAGTGCCTTTGCCCGACTGTCCCATTCACACAAAAAACAGCAAAACTTTGTGTAGCCTAGCTGTGGCCCAAGTAAAAGTGCAACAACTTTCAAGTCGCCACAAATATGCCATTGGTGCTCATCGTATTTTATGCATGTCAATAGGTACTTCATATTGTCATATGATTCTTTCATGTGAACTGCATACCCTACAGGAAGAGATGGTAAAATATTTCCAATATGCAATAACACTGCCTTTAAACTCAATGTTGAACTGTCTATAAACAATCTCCATTCTTCTGGGTTATAGTTTATATTTAAAGCCGCCAGTAAGCCGTTAATGTTACTGCAGAAAACCAAGTTATTCTCCATATTGAAAAATGGTTCTAAGTCTTTGTGGCGTTTACGAAAAACACATACCGAAACATCGTCTTCTAACAAGTTCCACTGCTGCAGTCTTGATCCAAGTAACTCTGCCTTACATTTTGGAAGTTCTAAATCTCTTACAAGATCATTTAATTCTGACTGTGTTATTTTGTGCGGTTGGTGGCATGACGTGCTCGGTATAAAATCAGGATCTCTTGACATTGATGGCATATCTTCTTCCTGACGAATCACTCGATCGCCATGATCTGATTCGTTTTCTGTTTCGCAAGTGTAGGATTCTGGGGGTTTTGGAATAGGATTTTCGTCACTGTGAGGCACAGGTCTCATCGCAGATGGTATGTTTGGGTAGTTAATAACCGATTTTTTTTTCTTGGACATACCTGTGGCTTGTCCAACACAAGGTACCATGCAAAAGTAACAATCATTAATATGATTTGTAGGCTCTCTCCAAACCATTGGGACAGCAAAGCGCATAGACCGTTTTTTGCCATTTAACCAGCTCCTAAGACTTGAAGCACATATATTACAGCAGATGTGGGGTGCCCACTGTTTGTCTTGATCACCTAGTTTACAACCGAAATAAAGCTGATATGCCTTTGTTATTAGTGGAGTAATAGACCGTCTCTGAGATGCAAAAGTCACATCACCACACACGTAACAAAACTGATCTGGATTGTTTACACACTTTCGAGACATCTTGCATGAACGCTGTCAGCCAACTGAGGAAAAAATGGCTAATATAAAACAATATAATGTACACGTATGTATAACGTAACACAATCATGCCGATTACATCATCTTTCCTTGCCGAATATAAAAATGTAGCACGTGCATTCTTGTGAATTACAGTATATTAACACTGTCACAGCAGGAACACATATAATTACCGTATCTCTAAAACTTGAACTAATATTGAAAAAATAAGTTTCATTCCGGTTTTAGCACATTAAAAATAGTAATATTTTGTTGATTTTATTTAGGATATTTTTTGGCTGTTGATCAGTGTAAGCTACGTGTAACCATTTATTAACGTATTCTACCAGAAAATAGCAACCACGTACTGAAATTTGGCGTTTAAAGGTTTTCCGAGGTGAAATGAGTTATCGCGGCGTCATCTATGGGAATTTGTCACAGCTATGTTTCACCTCTCCGCAATACGTGGAAATCTACTAGGAAAAGGTATGTCTCTGATAGTCATCTATGAGATACGAACAGTTTTAAAGTATTAGCTATAGGCGAACCTACGTATGGAACTTGCCCTCAAAGGTATCTTGAGATCAATCCAATTAAGGCCAAATCACATTAACCAAATTTTCAGATCGATAGGTCTGCCCATGGACTCCCCAACCTCAAAAACGTATATTTACCAAAATCATACTTCACGGACGCCCCTTTGCTCAAAGAAGTTTCAAAAAATTGTCTTTGGTACATTGTTATATCCTACAAAACCACAAATTTAAAAATCCACTCTATGTCAGTGCTCTCTTGTGTTCTTTTAAGATCTACTAACAGTATCATCAATGTTTGGCCCGAAAAATCGCCAAAAATAGGAAAAACCGCAATTTCACCGTTTTTCTCCAACTTTAAACGTAAGACATCAGTTAGCTAACTCAACGAACATGTATATTTTTGTCCATTTTTTTAGGTTCCACAATCAAAATTTTGATTTGTTTCCTGGAAAATAAAGAAAATAGGAAATACGTTTTCGCCGATTTTGCGATTGTCTAACCTAGTTTTTTGATTCTGTTGTTAAAATAATTATTTCTGGTCCAGAAAGTTATTAAAAATCGAAGAAATCACATTTTCACTGATTCACAGGTCCACAATAGACCAAATATTTTCTATGAAATAGCAGCTTTGCAATAGCCATGACCAAAATTATCATTTACACGTGTTATTTATTGGTTTCAAGCAAGCGTTTGGCTCGACTGACAGAGTAAAATTGTATGGAGCTAAGGGATTGCTAGGAATACCAAGTTAACCAACAAAGTTGGTCAAAATGGCAATGAACGATACAATGTAAGTCACATTGGAAGGGTAAATATTTAGAACATTTGGAGTAAGGAGAGGCCTGAGACAAGAAAACTGGCTATCCACAACGTCGTTTAACTTTACGCTGGAAGCTTTTTTACGTAAATATGGTATACAAGCCGAGGGAATTGTTCACTATAGAAAAAATTAGTTAATGTTGCTAAGTCCGATTATATAGCAATAATAACGAGATCAAAATGAGAACCTGAAAAGTCGTTCAAAACTGGCAACGGACGGTGAGCGATAATATAATATATATTATATCCTGCATATTACAGAAATATCGCTCCATGTGTAAACCTATTGAGACGCCACGCACGGACGCTATAGATATATTTACATCCCAGCGATATATTACGAATCTGTCGGGATATGCTTACCGAGCGATATTCTGCGCTATATCGCGCTATATCTATTCCCCTCTTGCATCGCGTCACATGAAAATACCCACGAACCGCTCTTGCTGGCAGCCGGCTTGGCGCGATGTTGCTATTTTATTATTTGTTCTTGCACTTCGGAGTTCGCAATAGACAAAATGGAGTATTTTATTGAAAGTGTAAGAAAACATCCATGTTTATGGAAGGTAGACTCGAACGAGTTTGAAGATAATGAGATTAAAGAAGCAGCTTGGAGGAGTATCATCGCTTGATACGTGGGTACGTAGATGTACAGATCGTCTCCGTAAATATTTGTAGTTTTATATAGTTATAAGTGCCACTTTCGTCCAGATTTTTGTTGTGCAGTCAGATAAGTAGATTGACATTGCATTGCAAAAGTGTCATGTCCAGTTCTGCTGGGGTGATGATGTTGTGATTAATTATATGTATCACTCGAATTCTGAGGATAATTTGGTGCAAAAGTGACGAGCAGATAGCTGTTTATTTTTTTTTGTGAACCAGTGGCGTACGCCCAGTTCCAATGGTGCAGGGAGCGGTATGTCGGGGAAACATAAACCGCCAGACATAGAAAGAAGATGTGAAGTGTGTGATGAGGAGATCCGTAAAGGAGGTGCTAAGGTAATGTGTAGCAATGTAAGCTGCGGAATCACCCTCCATCAAAAGTGCTTTGCCTCAATTGCTAAGGTTATTAAGTTAGACAAAGCTGAATGGTTGTGCAAAAATTGTGACGAAGAAAGCGATTCTTCGATTAACACTGTAATAACATCTGATGGAGATTTGTCAAGGGAGTTAACTACGGTTAAACATGATGTGCAAATTTTGACTGACCTTGTGAATGAACTTAAACGTGCAAATGAGATTTTGTTGGATAAAATTGAGCAACTAACAGTCAATAAGCCTCCCGGTGTACAAACACCTTATCAAATTAGGAATCCCATATCTTATAGTCAAGCTGTTTCGACGAATGTGAAAAATGAGACCAAATCTGTATTGGTTATAACTTCAAAAAGTGATAAAGAAACAAACATGGATGTCTTAAAAAATATAAAGGCTAACGTTAATCCAGCAACTGAAAAAATTAGTATTAGCAGCACCAAACTTGTGAAACAGGGAATGCTCGTAAAATGTTCAAATGATGAATCTTTACAGAAACTAAAAGCAATAGTTGACGAAAAATTCAGTCGTCAGTATAAAATAACTACACCTAAATCTTTCAAGCCCCGTGTCTTAGTTTCTGATGTGGATAAATCTCTTGATAACAATGATGATTTTATTCAGTCGTTGGTGCAAAACAATACATTTCTGGTTGATTGCGACATAAAGATAATAACTATGCTGAAGTTAAAATATTCTTTAAGTTATGTCATAGAAGTGGACCCGGAGGTAAGAAAAAGAATAATTTCTCAAGGCTGTTTGTACACGTCTTGGAGAAAATGTCACGTCCGTGATCATATATCGATAATCAGGTGCTTCAATTGCTCTCGGTTTGGTCACCTAAAAAAAGATTGTAAGGGTAAACCCTTGTGTGCAACTTGTTCCAATGAACATGATGTTAAAACCTGCGAATCTAGTATTAAAAAATGCGTAAACTGTTCGGCATATAACGACTACATGCTGAGTCGTTCTAGAAACTATAAGCCTTCTCCTGTAGACCATGCATCATCAGATACCCAATGTCCATGCTTTTTAAGGAGACTAGCACAAATTAAATCCAGAATTGATTATGGCTAAATCAATAAAAAATATTTTAAAAATATGCCATTTAAATGTACGTTCTTTAACGGATGACTTTAATGAATTCTCATCTCTTGTACGATGCAAGTTTGATATTGTAGTGTGCATGGGTATAGCTTCTTCCGTAAAGATCGGGGGAGTAGAGGGGGTGGCGTCGTTCTGTATGTTAAAGTCGGTTTTAATAGTAGCGTTATTCCAGTTGAGTTCTGTGATTTTGTAATTCCCCTGGATATTTTATGCTGCAAATTTAAACTACTGGGAAAAAGTATGCTAATTGTTGTGGTATATCGGCCACCACATTGTTCTATATCTCAAGCTATCCAATCCTTAGAAAACTTGATCGCATTTTTCACACCCCAATATGATAGTATTGTATTTTTAGGAGATATGAACGTTGACTTGCTTGCGTATAATAATATCCTTAGCAGCTGTTTTGATTCTTTCAATTTCTTTCAAGTCATTAATGAGCCTACACGAGTTACAGCTTTCAGCTCCACATTAATTGACCCCATTTTTGTAAGTGACAGTACTATAGTAAAGAAGTCTGGGACACTTAATGCAGACTCGATTAGTGATCACCGACTTGTTTTCTGCGAGATCTCCATTAGTAGTAATAAAATAGAGCCCAAATTTGTAGCATATCGGGATCTCAAAAGTATTGATATCCCTAGTTTTAAGACGCAGATCGCTTCATTGCAGCTTGACGATATATATTACGTATTTACGCACCACTACGTACAGTGCGAGTCACAAAGCCTGCTGCACCCTGGCTAACTCCTAATTTAAAAATAATATTTCAACTAAGAGATGATGCATTAGCAGTATTTCAGAATAACAGATCTGCACAAAACTGGGAATACTACAAGGATTTGAGAAACTTTGCTCTAGCATCTCTGAGAAGAGAAAAAAAAGCATATATGTCTCGTTTCAGTAACTTAAACTCTAGTCAAGCGTGGAAAGAGCTAAGGAGGATGGATGTGGTTGCACAAAAGCGTGTTGCGATACCGCCAAGTTTACTTGATCCTAACGATTTAAATAACTACTTTCTTTCAATTTTCCAGGCAGCTGTAACTGATTCTAACTTGATTGATCGTGTTTCTAACAGCTACAGCAATAGGCGTTATATACCAAGGGCACCTCTATTCCTATTTAAACTGCTCACTCAGCAAGACATTCTTAACATAATTAGTAATATTAAGTCTACGGCCTGTGGTTCAGATGGTTTAAGTTTAAATATGGTTTGCTTATGTCTGCCCGAGATTATCGATTACATAACGCATGTTATTAATATCTGCCTTGAAAGCCAGCTGGAAAAATGATATAATTATTCCACTAGCCAAAAACAATTGTCCAGAGCAACATTCTGATCTTAGACCAATCAGCCTGTTATGCTTTCTATCAAAAATACTAGAGAAAGCTGTCTACTCTCAACTGGTGGAGTTTTTTGAACAGAATAACTTATTTCCTCAATGTCAGTCGGGTTTCAGGTCTGGTCACAGCACGACCTCGTCGTTATTAAATCTCACTGACTCTATCATCTATAATTTGGATAATCACATCAACACCGTATTGATACTGCTAGATTTCTCGAAAGCCTTTGACATGGTCAATCACCAGATACTATTGAGTAAATTGCCTTACTATGGTATGTCAGATATAGTTGTAAAGTTCTTCGAGTCATACTTGCTTGATCGGCAACAAACTGTGAAAACTGAACAGGGCATGTCCACTACGAAGCCGGTTCCTTCAGGAGTTCCTCAGGGTTCTGTGCTTGGTCCCTTATTATATCTGATATACACTGCCGATTTGCGAGATTGTATAGTCCATTCAGCCATGCATACTTACGCGGATGATACTCAGTTGGTGTTTGCCTTTGATCCGTCAGAGGTTGACGAGGTTTCTTTCAAAATCAATTTGGACATGACTAACGTGAACGATTATTGCAAGAAACACTGTCTTAAAATAAATCCTAAGAAGAAAACTGCTATGTTTTTTTGTTCGAAAAATTCCTATCCAGTTGTGAAGGAGAGAATTAATATTGTGTTGGATCAAACACTCATCCCTCTTGTTGACTATACTAAAAACCTCGGAATAACTCTCGACAAAAACATGAGGTTTGATCATCACGTTTCATATTTGTCGAGAGTAACGTATATGCGCTTGAAACTTCTACATTCAAGTCGACATATTTTAAATTTTAAAACCCGTAAAAAGCTTTGCGAAACTCTTGTATTGTCAATTATATCTTATTCTCTTGTCCTCTATTATCCATGTTTAGATTATAATAACAAATGTAAGCTTCAGAAAATTCAAAACAGCTGCTGTAGGTTTATATTTGGTCTCCGTAGGTTCAGTCACGTTTCGGATAAAATCAGAGAACTCAACTGGCTGAAAATTGATAAACTATTTTTATATTTATTGAACGTCTTAACTCATAAAGTTCTGCTAACAAACAGACCGGCCTATCTTTTTAGCAAATTGATACCTCGTGGTAACTTCGTACCAAGGACTCTTAGATTTAATATTAATTTTAATATGCCGCTCCACAACACTTTTATCTTTGAAAGGCGTTATACCTATAATGCTGTTAAACATTACAATGCTCTTAACCATTCGCATCGATCCAAGCCAGTCTCTTCTTTTAAGAAATTAATGAAAAATCAGTTGCTGGAGACAAGTTTGTTCTCTGTGTTTATATATGTATATGATTGTCTTTTCCTGATTGTTTTGTGTATCTGTCGTTCATTTAATGAAACTATGTTGTTCTTAATTACTTTTTTTTGTAACATGTGTATGTATTTTTCTTTCTTTTTTCTCTGCTTTGGGGTTAAGTGGAGGAGTAGCCGTCTGGCTAAACTTCGCCTCACTGCAGATAATAAAGGCATTATTATTATTATTATTATTATATATCCGACAGTATGAACTTGTAAATATTTATTTTTATATACACAGGTAGCTTGAAAGCTAATAGTAGGGAAACCCAAGAGGGGATTTTAAGATTTACTCAAGCGCGGTAGATTAACATATGGGGAATACCTTGTTAATTAAATACACTGTGTACAGCACAGAGCAGCAGATCAGCTAAGGCACAGAAATGCTGAAAAATCGGTAGGTTCGTCACCACTGCTAGAAAAATTAGAAAATATATATATTCTGTAGTCAATTTCATTCATAATATAATATTATAGCATATCGTACGACTATAATATATATTATATTATCGCCCACCGTCCGTTGCCAGCTTAAATGTTTAGAGGTTAAAAGAAACTGTCAAACGTTTTGAGCTTCATATAAATGAAGACAACACAAAATAGAAAGGAGAGGCAACAATAGAAGTAGGAAAACGATGAAAATTATAAGCATAGATTATTGCTTCGAGGTGGTGACCAGTTTGAATATCTAGAGGTAATAATAACAAATAAAGCGGAAGATTTAGAAATTGAAAAAAGAATAGCAAAAGGGAGTGAGGTAATGGGCGCTTTAAGTAAGGTCAATATCAAGGAAGGCAAACGAAAGGATATATAAATCCGTTATTCAACCATCAGTGCTGTATAGTAGTGAAGCTTGGGTTTTAAGTCAAAACTACGTACAAAAATTAGATTGCTGGGAAAGAAGAACTTTATGCATAATATATGGGAGCACAAAGAACAACGATGGTACGTGGAGAAGGCGGACTGACAAAGAAATAATCGAGATGTATAATACAAAAAATAGGAGCTGAAAGGGGTAAGCTGGCCAGGACACGTTTACAGAATGCCATCTTATAGCAATGCCAATAAAGTGCTGCTGGTGTGAGAACGCATCAGGAGAAGAAGAAAAAGACCAAAAAAGAAATGACAGGAAAGTGTGAAAGAGGATATATCAAGAATGAGAGAAAAAGACAAAAAACAGAAAAGAGTGAAAAGAATATGACTGAGAGATAGGAGCCATAAGCCTGCAGGCCTGAAGTGTTGAATTACATATACAACAATTGCGATCTGTTTATTCGCCACAATGACGCCGGGTTGAGCCAACTTGTCCATAAGATGTGTCACCCCTTCTATGCTCTAGTAAGCATGAATATCAAGTAAATTATAGGTGAGCGATCCTTCTGACGCTGCATGTGTCAACAATGAGCATCTCGTCAACTAGCTCGACGAATAATTCACCTTGATGAGATAACTAGCGCCGCTTTCAATTAGCTCCCTCTCCCCTCCCCCTTTTAACTATGTTATCTTAGATTATATGGATAATTACGCTATTCACCGACGACTTCGCGTGCGGCTGTACGATATTGAGGATAAGGAGGTGTTACCGTCCTTAGGCAATATACGGGGTGTTTCAAATCCGAGTCTCACCATAGGGATCTCGGAAACGGCAATAGATATGAAGTTGGTTAAATTAGAGCAAATCTGTGCATTCAGGTAACTAAGAAAATGGCGCATAAAAAGCTTCGCAAATCCGAGTATTTCTGGAGATAAACAAAAAAACGACTTTTCTCAAAATCTTTTGTATTTTTTCCCGGCTCTATTTGAGATGGGATTTCTAAATAAAAACGACAATGCCATTTATTCTCTTCTACAAGATGACACCACTAGAATTTCCAGATGACGTTTCGTCTCTTATCCCCAATCATCAACTTTATTGTTCTTATAGACGCCATATAGGATTTTTGCGGGCTGTCTCATGAATAACATTGATGAAAGTATGTACGCCACTGACTTTTTTAGAAACTGTATATTCTTTCGGATTAGGCAGCTAGTGATACAACTTTTTTGTTTCTTGCTATCTCGGTGCATCTTTTTCGAAGAAAAAATAAAAACAACTCGATTACATAATCTCCCATCCTTTTATGGCCAATGAAACCTCATATACATATTTGAAATTCTTCTTTATTGTAGTAAACGTTCACTATATTAAAGAACAATTTCAAATGTGGTTTCACTGGCCAGACGGACATGGGGGATTATCTATTAGATGTTGAGAAATTATTTAAGTAAGGTCAAATCAACTTTGATCATTGCCAGATGATATTGTTCTGTTGTTATAAACATATTTTTGACTTTCCGTGACAGGTCGCTATTGTTTGTCCTTTGTTGAATTTTTTGACACCCTCTATCTAGGAAAGCGACTATTATAAATAAACAACATGTTTATATGAAGTCTTCCACTTGAATTTGGTCCAAGAATGCGCCCTTATGATTATGGCACATCTCTAAGTAACTCCCTGTATATAGCGTGCTTCAAAATGTTATTATCTATGTGTCAGGTCTAGGCAGAAGGTACATATATTGAGAACTAACTCGAGAACTTCATAGAAACTGCTAGTTATAACATGAAGGGAAGCGTTAGCCGGTCCTCCCTAAAAATAGGATCAGACTAGGTAGGAGAAGCCATTCAGGGATTTGTTTGTCTCCTAATTCTCATAGTCTGTAGTGAGGATCAAATTGCACTTGGCATTAGGCAGTTTTTTTCTCAGTCCTGTCATTGAATTCATATTTTTAGTGTTGTTTTAAGATCCAGTATTTGCTGATAGTTGTGGTTTTAGATGATTTCACATACTTCTTACATAATTTACAGAGCGTCACAAGTCTAATGAAGGTAAATGGTTCCACCGGCGCCGGGAGGCATGATTATTATATTGTCACTTTGGTAGGCATTTGTAGTCAAAGTATGCTCTAAAACTACGTAATTTTGATGACAAACAATGCAAAGTAAACATATACGCGTGGCTCCTTCTAATCTATTCGAATTGGTTGCAGAATTTTTCTCATATCTATTGATTCTCATAGATAGTACAGCATGCAACTGGAATCTCGATAGTATTTCTGGAAGATGCAATTTTTCGGATGCATGCTGATGACATAATACGTGCGTTTGTTGGGCAGCGTGAGTTCGTCATACGTCCCAAGCCACTGTCGAGACAGTATATCGCAAAATACCATGTCGCTCATGTTCGCCAGTCTGTCTGTCTGTTTGTCCGCTAATCTTTGGTCCCTCTATAAATTGGAAAATACCGCCGTGGTTTCAGTGAAATTTTCACACAATGTTACTACTATGCCCATAACTGGAAAGTTTGGGTTTTTGGAAAATCGGTCCAGCGGCAGCATAGCTACGGGCAAAGAACAAAAAGAAATGATCCAAAGTTCATTCCTTGCCATTGCATAGACTCCTTAACATTTTCAGAAAAAAATTTGTCGGGTGAATAATTAAGAATGGGAGGGGCAGATCTCATTCTCTTAGAACATAAGCCTGTCGCTGTCTTGCTGCCGCAGACACTGTTAACCAGCGATGTTAACGAATACATTCAATTTGAAAAACGATAATGATATTTATTAGTGAACACTGATTTGCTAACAATGTTTGCGGCGATGTGGACCGGGGTGTCGATGTGAAGATGTAATATTAACAGAGCTGTAGAGAAATTGTAGAGTCGCAGCCAGCTTTTTTCTAAGAATGGCTAACATAATATTGCATAGTCGACCAACTTGACCTCGTTTTTGAATCGCTTTGGACCTAGTTGTGCAATACACGAGATGCTGACAAATGGACGTATACATTTGCAGCGATGTTGTGTCCTATGGACCATTTGCCTTGCTTCATAAATACAACCTCAACACCATCCTTCGGAAAAGTGGTCGTTTTAGAAAGGTTACTTGTAGGAAAATCTCATAGTTTGTAGTTTAGTGGTATATCAAACATTACAAAAATGTTTTATGTCTTAACATTCACACACTAACCAAATGTTCTTCTTTCAGGTATTTATCATTCAAGTCCATATAAAAGTCGGTAAGTTACATATATATTTGATGTCCATTATCACATTATCTATTAAATTAATCTACTGTTGCTGTGATTTTATGTTAAAATTCATAATATTTATGTCATTTTAGCATGGTGTTCAACTATGTCTGCTAGAAAACTTAATTTTTCAACTCCTATTATTCCACCATGATATCTGTAGTCAAAGCTTCAAAACTTTGATTATCGGAATCAATCAACACCGAGCGCTTTTCAAAATACTTCACGCAAAAAAACAACTTTGTTATTTTTGTAAGATCCTATAAGTGGCACATCTCATAAATGACGGCTATAAATCTCATACAAAAAATATTTTACACCTAGAAAATTCTATTTTTGACACATCTTGCTTCCTCGAATAAATTTATATCTCCTCTGCCACAGTGAATACTGGATGTGTGTCAGATTCCGGTATATCCCGGTTTTCTGCTCCTGTTCATTCCCAAATGGTCAGTCAACCAACAGACCACTTATTTTCAATGTAGATCTACCAAATTCTACGCTACTAGCGTGGAAGTGTTGTAGTCGTGAGAAATTTCGAAAATGAGATATGTGTTTTTGATTTTACAGGATATATCACAACAAGTGATGTCATTCATTTCCGTCATTTTGTTGGTCTGTCTGTCGGTCCCCGGTACATTTGACATTAAAAGTTAAATGAATGATAGAGAAATGTTTTCGACACGCGTCTGTGTCTGGGTTGACTGGCGTCGCAGTCTCCCACATGAGTGCGCCACGCTGCCAAGTCTGACGAGTAGATTCATTGAGCACGGAGGGACGGCGTTGCCAAAAGGGCAGCACTATCGGTAGGGCAGGGATGAGATGTCTATAGACTAACTTTATGTGAATATTTAACTATTCAATGTTTTACATTTTCGTAGCCAACTTTCTGCTCATAATGTTTGACTTTTGCCGAACAGATTTCTTTATGAACTAAGACAGTATTTCCTGGGAAATGCAGAGTCAAGCTACTCGCCACCATTTTTGGAATAACTACTTCCTGTTTATTTGTACTCTATAGTAATGCTGCTTATAAGCAGAAGCAGATTGTAACCACTTGGTTTCCTGGAATTAATTTCTTATCTTATTCGTTTAGTTGTGTACAGGATATATGTACCAGAGAGGATTTAGGATATTCAAAGTAAACTAAAGAATACAAAAATTATAAGAAACATGTCTTCAAGAAAATGGAGCTCCAGATGCGGAAATTTAATTTTCTAAAAATTACGCGATCTGTGAGCATACTTCCCAATTAGTGCGTACTAGTTCTTTTCTAAGTTGGAAAGACCAAACTTTCTAAAACAGCCAAAGATACCTTGAAGGTGTGCAACAGACGCAGACATGCCTATAGAATAGATCATTATACGTATAGATACATAGGCGCATGCACTGATACAAATAAGGCGGCGTATTTGATGATTGAAACCAAAAGCTTGGAGTTGCTTAAAAATAGATACATTCGTATCTGTAGTGTGAAGCAGCAGGCGTGATTTGCTGGGGCACTATTCGTCACGACGAATATATCGGCCTACTTTTTATAGGCCTGAGACGTGTTTAGGTGCCATTAAATTAGAATATCCCGGTAGATTAATGGGAGTCACTTTTAAGGTGACAATATCGGGACAGTGAGTAAAAGCCTGAAAAATTATGACTTCAATTAAAATATTGGTTTCACTTCTCATTGAACAAAAACACTAATCATGATGTCAGCATTGGAATACTGTTATATAAATCGCTTGTAAGATATCTTGACGACAGGCGGTCTGCAATAGCGTTGGAAAAAATGTTGTCAAGTAGGCTGACTCTCCATTTCACACGCAATGCCAACATGAGTTCATGAAGTATTATGTTCAGCACAAGTTAAAACCTATAAATAACCATACGCCATGTTATATTCTGTATAGATAATGGTAGTTATGTTTTCGTTCGTTGTCACAAAGACCAAGCGAAAGACGAAAGCAGTGCTGAGTTAGATGCTATAAGAAAAAATAACGTCAAGTAGGTTGACTGCACTTTCCGCGCAACGCCGTTATCAGTTCATGAAGGATTATGTTCAGCACACACTAGGTCCTCTGAGAACAAAGTCAATCAAACAGGTCCAGACAATTAGTCCGCAGACATTCTTTCCTTGCCCTATCCGTATTATCATCAATCTGACAACGTCGCCTCAGACACGACAGCCCGACACAGTGCTAGTCATGCGATGACACCTATGAAGTCTGGCACGCCGGCCGGTAAAGCCAGAGAGGAGACTAATGGACGAGTGTCTAAAATATTTCTGCTTTCCTACCCCCCACAAACAAGATCTCCACCGCCCAATTTTGTGCCACTAAAGATTTTTTGAAAGATGATTAGGATTATCTGAAGCGCCAAAAATCAAAGCTTCTGCGGTTTTTTTCGTTTTTGGCAAAAACTACGAAGCTTTTTCGTCCTTGGCATACTTGTTACTTTCTGTTAAGACCTCCTCCAAATCCGAGAAGAACTTTCCAAGTTACAGATCGGCCAAGGATTTGAGGACAGGCCGACTGACGGAAATGAGTGATATGGTTTTCCGTGACGTACATGTCATATAATATTTCATTATCAAAATTTTTCGGGATTACAATACTTCCTCGCCTGCAGACCTGGAAAGTGAAAGGAGGATCAACTAGCTAACCACTAATCAAGATATTTCCAAGAAGATAGTAGTTCATAACAGGGCTGGGCTATTCATGTAGGAAGATGATTGCTTCAAACCTTTCTATAAACTGTACACAACGTTTACGATATGTAAAGTCTTAACAGAACCTTGGAAATGAGGTAGAACTAATCAAGATTACTATTTCCGTGATGTACATGTGATATAACATCTCGTTGTCAATTTTTTTTGCGATTACAATGCTTCGACGCCTGTAGATTTGGGAAGTAAAAAGGGGATCAACTAGCTAACCACCAATCAAGATATTTCCATGAAGATAGTAGTTCATAACAGGGCCCGGCTATTCATGTAGTAAGAGGATTGCTTCAAACCCTTCTCGAAACTGTACACTACGTTTACGATATGTAAAGACCTAACAGGCCCTTGGCAATGAGCTGAAACTAATCAAGATTACTATTTCCGAGACCATTGTCAAGTATGTCATTTTCTCTCTAACTTTGATTTTTTTCACGACAACCTAAGTAAATTTCAATTTATTTCAATAACATTCAGGCACGCGTTAGGTCGAACAAAAGTTGAACAGCGACCCAGATAGATCTGTCAAAATATTTTTAAGCGACCACATCGTATATACTACGCAAAAACACGCAAATCCACTTGAAACAGGTATATAGTATTTTTCCTAGGTTGATAAGTAAATTTGGTTTGTTTATTAGTTTGAACCTACGCCAAAGCCGTTTCCTGTGCCGTACGATCTTTTGAACTGGCATATAAATATGAAAATGTCATAAAGATTATAAAAACTGATCTGTTACGTGAAGACCACCGGTCATAAAGATGACAACCAGGAAATCTGGAAATAAACTGTATCTCAATGTGCGCACCTTACCTCTAAATTCATCAGTTAATGAGTATCCTAATTTTCCAAAAATAAACGGCCGTAAACTTTTAACTGCGCATGCCACAGACGGTGACTTTTGCACAAAAGTAAGAATGATTTGTTAAAAAATGCGTTGCGCTTATTTCTAACGTAGGAGTTGAATTCATCGTACCTATATATCTGGAACATTATATGGAAGGAGCAAGCGGCGTTGAAGATGGTTTCATCTCCAAATATAAGCAACCTTTATAGCTAGAGTACTGAATTTTTTTTTTACACAGTTTTATGGTACCATGTTTTCTTTTTAGGAATTCAAAATTTACTCTTTCTTAAAATTTTCAAATGGAACACCCTCTATATTTTCCCGGACCTTGATTTACTTTTTCAAAGGCTTATTCTGGAGGTTTGTACAACTGGTTATAGCTAACCTTTTTGTAAGACAAATATCAAGGTAAATGAAAAAATGTTACAATACCCTTTAAAATAGAAAATAGCTTTTAGTTGATAATGGCAGATACTTTAAATTGGTGTGTTTTCCTTATAAATCAACTCTGCACAAGTTTATGTATTAAAGTCGAAAAATCAAGGTGTCCCTGTGTTTTTAGTACCTCAAAAACCGGTCATACAGACCCCCTTAAGAATATATGAGAAAATAGTTTGTGGAAATTCGAATCAGTGTGTGAAAACATACAAAACGCTCCATCTGAAAATTTTGAGAAACAGTCCATTTTGCGTATTTGACCACCCTGTATGTATCATTCAAAAACTAAAAAAGTAGATAGACAGGGAGAAACTACGGAATCATAAGAATAATCTGACGAAAAATTCATTAGCCCTATTGTAACAGTTGCTAAGGTATGAGTCAAGGTTGAGTGTTTTTCAGCAGTATATCAGCAATATATATAAAACCTTATAAAGTGAAAACCAAATTTGTTAGACGGCCTGAGCTAAATCTGTGAGAGAAGGAAGTGCTAGAAAGAGGTAAAAGCCGGCTGGATAGTGAAGCTCATCACCGCATTGCCTAGCGACGCTGACCCAGCTATCTGCCGCGTTGCCAGGATGAGTTCCTTTTATTAAGATGCATGTTGAAAATATGCATTAGTTTATTCTCTTCTTCCAAATAATGGTTTTGGAATTGTGAATTGTGTCGAATTAAAGAGAAAACGGAATATTTAATTAAATGTTCGATTAGACCTCCTTCTTGGGTTTGGCAGTAACCTAACCTATTGTAGAAGCCTGTGCGGAAGATTTTCTGGTGTAACATATTGCCAATGCGGCAGATTGTATGACCTTCTGCATCACCGTTGCTAGGCAATTCAGCGCTATTTGCTCCTTAGACAGCTTCTATCTCTTTCTAACATGTGTTGTTATAAATCTCTCGCGATACTTTCTCGTACACATTGAACTCAAGCGGTCCGACAAATTTGGTTTTCCTGTATATAGGATGTTGTATCAAACTGCCTTGTTTCGGCGGGCATATCCAAATCTGCAAGAAAATGTAGGTCTTGCCATTTGAAAAACTCTGTTTGGATAACGTAGTTTTAAACGATCCGGTAGAGATAAACATATCCAAGTAAGGAACATACTGTTGGCTGCAATTTTGTATTCAACATAATAAAACCGCCGAT